CAGTTAGTGGAGCACCAAAGGTAACGTTTAAGCACAATCCATTTCTTAGAATTGCAAGTCTTTGGACGATGGTGTGGTTTAGTTTAGTTTAGTTTAAGCACAATCCATTTCTCAACACGATTTCGGCTTTTCTTTCGACGAAGCTCATTACACGAGCAGTCATCTACGTGTTTCTAGACTTTCCTCGAGGCTTTTAGTGATCGATCCCATTGCAATGCAGGTGAAAGCAATGGAGTTAATCGATCAGCTGGAGGTTACCAGGCGCGGGCCATACAGTGGCGGGTTCGGTGGCATTTCGTTTTCAGGAGACATGGACGTAGCCCTTGCTCTGAGGACTATAGTCTTCCCTACTAATACGCGTTACGACACCATTTACTCGTACAAGGATGCGAACCGTCGTATGGAATGGGTGGCTCACCTCCAGGCGGGTGCCGGGATTGTGGCGGACAGCGACCCTGCAGACGAACAAAGGGAGTGTGAGAACAAAGCCGCTGCCCTTGCTCGTGCAATTGACCTTGCAGAATCATCGTTCATTGGAGAATGATCGTAAGCTTTTTGTTTTCCATAAAAATTTCAAGTTCCTAATTTCGGTTCTGTTCTTATATAGAGATCTTCTCAGTTGAATTAATAATAATAACCATTTAGCTTTTTATTTTTAGATTTCTTAAATTGTGTTTGTTTTCTCAATAATTTTAATAATTTTTATCCAAATTCTAAAAACTTAAATTTTTAATCAGTAGATAAATGGTTATTATTTAACTTGTTATTTTCAAAAATTAAAAATAAAAATAAATATCGTTCTTCAATGTAATTTTGTATTTTAAAATTTATTAGATTTTTTTTTAAAATTTAAATATCTAGTAAATTCAAATTTGAAAAAAATAGAAATTAAATTTGTAACTTAGTTTAATTTACTTAAATTTTATTAGTGGATTGTATATTATTTAATGGGAACATCAAATAATGCTCAATTTAATTTATTTAAAAATACCATTATTTAATGTGAATATTTAAGCATGTCTGTACAACCAAATAAGATTCTGGGAGATTTCAGATTTTTAAAAAATATCATTATCGTTTTATTAAAATATTAATTTTTGAAATATTTATTTAAGTATTGCAATTTTAAATGGTGGAATGAACAAGCATTAGAACCTAACCAATTTTGGTTACGTGGGATATATTCTCTTGGAGATTTTATATAATAAATTAAACAAATTCATATAGCTCATTTAATAAAAACAAGTCTAAATATTGTATTTTGTCTTAAAAAAATATATATTCATCAATTTTTAAAAATTTCAGTATTAATCTTCGACTTTAAAAAATTAAAAAAAATATCATTAATACCATCAAATAAAATTTTAAAATAAAATAAAAAATACAAAATTTAAAATATTTTTTAGTATTTTTTTTTTTTGTTTAAGTTTTTAAGAATTTTAAAGGTATTTACACAACTTTTAAAAGGAAATAGTTTAAAAAATGAAGAATATTTTTGAGTTTTAAGGTTTTTTTTTTAAAACATTTTTTAAAATTTTAAAAATATTTTTGAGATAAACATAAATTTAAGCGATAATTTTATTAATTTAACCTACAAAAAAAAATTGGATGAGAAGCGCGGTTTAATTTTAAATTTTTAATTATAAAAAAAGCACTTGGAAACGCCGTTTTGTCTGTACGCTTTCCGTGGGCTTATTCTTCACTCATCCATTATCGGCTTGATGAAGCTTGTGCGCCTTCCAAGTTGATCGCCTCTACAGTAAAGGTTCTCTCTTCTTCTTCTTCTTCTTCTTCTTCGTCCTTTCGATTTTTACGGATTTCACGGATGCTTCAGGATTGGGCAATGTTCTTCGTAAGAATGGCTAAGCGATTGCTGTTGTCTGTGTTTGTGCTTTGATCCTTGCGTTATAGGTTTTGTCTGATTAACTCGATGAATGAATTGATTCGTCTTGATCATTCTGCTATCTGATTGTTTTCTGGTTCTTATAAATCCTGGTTTTTTTTAGGGGGGAATGAATGAAGAAGAAGTTCAGAGAGAGTGCGAGGGCATTATCAAAATCGTCATTGATCCTCAAATTAACATGAAATTTTGATGAAAAAATTTAGAAAACCCTATCTGAAACTTTCTTTTTGACTCGAATTCTTCTGATATTGAATGGTTTGTGTTGTTAAAGATTGAGTGGCTGTTGGATGATTCGATATGGTTATACTGCTTTTGCCTTCAGTTTCTCCATGTTTTCCCCGAAAAGTAACTTGAATTTGTAATTTTATCCGTCAGGAAGCTGATTTGAATTCAAGACACAAGCTATGTCGACCACGAAAATATATGTTGTGTAAGTTTCTTCCTCCCTGTATCCTTTCCATTTCTCACTCTTTCACTTGAATTGTCCGAATCATCCTTGAATTCAACTTCATGCTATGATTCAAATTTCACTTTGATTTGCTGCTGATATGTAAAAGATTTACAGGTACTATTCCTTACATGGGCATGTTGGAACCATGGCGAGGAGAATTCAACAGGGAGCTAATTCAGTTCAAGGTGTAGAAGCCACTCTGTGGCAGGTATTTTTGAGTCTTGATGAAATAAGAAAATGCAACATTGTTTTTTGTCACAATTGATGCTGAGTTTGGGATGAATTTTGAATGTAGTGTTTGTAGCTCAAATCAAATGCTTATTCTATACAGTTTTCAAATTTTGAGTTTTGTATATAACTCAATGTTGAAACTTAATGGCCCTTCGATAATTATTTAGACTTCGTTTGATTATCACTAAATTTGTACACTAAAATTTCTGAAAATTGTGATTATTGTCCCAAAATTTATTTATAATGTTTTTGATTGGCAATAAGCTTTGCCTAACGTGACTGCCTGGTTCGGAGAAGGTGCCCGAGACGTTGTCCGATGTGGTACTGAACAAGATAAAAGCTCCTCCAAAAGAAGTTGATGTGCAAGAGATCAAGCCAGAACAATTGCTGGAGGCAGATGGGTTTCTCTTCGGATTTCCATCTCGATTCGGTGTCATGGCTGCTCAATTCAAGGCATTCTTTGATGCAACAGGTGAGATATGGCAGTCCCAAGCACTTGCTGGTAAACCTGCTGGAATTTTCTGGAGTACTGGTTTCCATGGTGGAGGCCAGGAGCTTACAGCGTAAGAGACCACTTTCTCCTTAGCTTTTCAGCATATTCTTTACATTTACATGAAATCATTGTTCATGAACGAAGAACTCAAAAAATAATCGTTCAAACGTAGTTGCACAAAAAGTAGTCCTGCTGATCTTAGTGCTGATTCAAGTTTTGGCTCTTAGTTTTAGCTCCTTTGTCCATTAGCTTCATTCCCAAATGAATTCTGGTTTGTGAGATCTCACGTTGATTGGGGAGGAGAACGAAGCATTCTTTATAAGGGTGTGGAAACCTCTCCCTAATAGGTCCGTTTTAAAAACCTTGAGGGAAAGTTCGAAAGGGAAAACCCAAAGAGGACAATATCTGCTAGCAGTGAGCTTGGGCTGTTACCCTGTTTCTCAAATAGTACGAGAAGATTGGAATAAACTTTTTTTTTGGAAGGATAAACTTCATTTCCATTTCTGATTTGTCTGGCTTATCCACTTCATGTGCCTTCAAATGAGAGAAAAGAAAGCGATAGGCCTTCTATTTCTATTAGTTCAAGTGCAATCACAGCAGTAGAGGCGGCGGAAGAATAGGAAAAAAAAGGAATCCGCTGCTATAAAGGTTCAGAGGCTTCTTGTTCCCGGAGGGTGTAAGTCGTCCTTCTCTTACTATTGAAGAAAGCGAGAATGGAGAGTACTAAACTGATATAAGACTCCCACTTTTGGCTCTATATTTTGGGGTACTTTTAGGTTATGTAATCTAACACGTTTCTAGATTTTAAAAATGTCTACTAAGTTCTTGATCTTATGTTTCATATTACCCGTTTCTTATATAAATTTCTGACTCCTTCCCTGATCATTGTTACGATGATGCATAGATTGACCGCGATAACACAACTAGCACATCATGGGATGATATTTGTGCCTCTTGGATACACATTTGGGAGTGGGATGATGGTGATGAATGAAGTGAAGGGTGGCTCTCCCTATGGCGCTGGAACTTTTGCAGCCGATGGAACCCGACAGCCCACGGAGCTCGAGCTCGACCAGGCCTTTTACCAAGGTAAGTATGTTGCTGAATTAACCAAAAAGCTAAAAAATTAACCATACTTCCTTTCAACATGTATACCATATCTGGCTTGTTCAATTATAAACGTTAATGGTAGTGTAAAGTTATCAAAATTATAATCATGTAAATGTATGATGATGTTTATTCAACGAGGCGGGTTAAGGTTAAGGACGAGTGAAAAGCTAGGATTATGTGTGTGTGTGTGTGTGTATATATATATCAAACGAGCTCAAACGACTTTCTCTAATCTTAAAATTGGTGTTTTAAAAAGTTATTTGACTCTTAGTTATGTGTTTAATTGATCTCTAATGTATTTAAAATTTTAACATAAAATTGAATTTTATTTAAAATTGAATTTTATTTACCTAAGCGTTCCATTTTGAGCTATTGAATTTTAAATAATATCAAATATTTCCATATATTTTGGTTATATTATAAAAACACAAAATTTTGCTACAAAAACTGTTATCAAAGATTTATTTATTTATTATTATTATTTTTGTAAATTTATAGTTTGGATCAAATATAATTTAATGCATTATTTTTTTTTATTACGTTTTCTATTTTTTGTTTTAATGACAATGAATATATTATTTATTTATTCCGGACGTTACTGATTATTAAAAGAATATAATAAATTCTCTTCCAAATCAGCCAATACAGCTTTATTTGGTTTGGGAGTCGACTAAAACGACTTCGTTTTAGTTAGTCAACAAGTCAACGCTGGCAGCGAATTCCACAATTAATCCGTGAAAATCGAAAAATAAATATATACACGCACGTATGTATATAAATAGAAGCAAGAGTCTCCAATTTGTGATGTCCCATTCGCATACACACCAAAATCAAGACAAACATCTCTCTGTTTCTCTCCGCTTCTCTGCTACGCTGGAATGGAGAGCCTGTGGCGATCGGCAACCGGCCAAGATCCAAGTCCAGAGGATTACAAGGGCGTCGAATTCTGGAACAGTCCCGAACGCGCCGGCTGGCTCAACAAGCAGGGTGAATACTTCAAAACCTGGCGTCGCCGTTGGTTCGTTCTGAAACAAGGTAAACTCTTGTGGTTTAAGGACTCTGTTGTTACTCGCGCTTCCATTCCACGCGGTGTCATCCCTGTCAATACCTGCCTCACTGTCAAGGGCGCTGAGGATGTCCTCCATAAGCCTTGCGCCTTCGAGCTCTCTACCACTGGTCAAGACACCATGTATTTTATCGCCAAGTCGGAGCGCGAAAAGGAGGAGTGGATTAATTCGATCGGCCGCTCGATAGTTCAGAATTCGCGATCGGTTACCGAATCTGAAGTCGTTGATTACGATAACAGGCGATGATTTCGACGTTTACGACTTTTCTTCGTCTTTCACGCTCTTTATGTACAGAAATGATGCGAGATTTGGTCTCGGATGATCGCGAGATGACTACCTTTCGTCGGTTTGGTATTATCGAGTTCTGTTTCCATATCTCTGGTTGTTAAAATTATGGCGGTGATGTGAATCGAAATGAATCTCCTCTACTTCGTTTTCTCTTTGTTTCCGAACTTTCTGTCAGGCATAATCCTATTGCTCGGTTTTTCTTGTGTATTTGATCGCCAATGTAGAATGGAAAATTGCGTGCCTACCGGAGTGTTGAGATTCCGGTTTAGTATACTGATTAATAGCTTTTGTTCTAAGATCACTGTTCTTCTCTTACGGTTTCAATTTATCAAGTTGTTTTTTGCCGAACTGTTTCTTCCAGATCAACCTGTATGAGTCTGGAGAAAGTTGTGAATTGATTCGATTTTCCTTACAGTTACGGCACGCTCGCATGGAGTTCCAGGATCGATCGAGAAATCATTTGGTATCCTCAGCGAAACTGTACGCTAGGGCACACTGCAGTTTACGAATTACTTTACAACACAAAAAATCTGCTACGGCTCCCCCGGAATTATCATTTCCTAGCAGCACGTCGAGAATTCCGCCTGGAAGTCGGTGAAACGATGAATTGCGTTGCCACTCGAATCGATTATTACAGTAAACATAACATGTGGAGGATGCAATCAAGAAACCAGATTTAGCCTTGAATTTTGCACAGTTGATCGTGAAAACTGGACAAATTGAATCAACTTCAGGCTAAAACCAAGGTATCGAAACCCTAACCTATAGTTTACTGTTTTTTTTCTTCAAAATGAAGCAATATCAATTTTGTTTAGGTCCCATTTGGGAATGAGAGATTCATTGAAATGAAATTGACATTTTTCTATTTACTGTCATGAAAATATAAGTTAGGCACTCACAGTAATTGTCTGAGGAGCAATTGAAATGCTAATGAGTTTCAACAATTTAAACCGACATAAAACTAAATGATGATCTATTGCTTCCTCATTCATTATATTTACGACGAACTTCATTTCTTTCTCTATGAGAATGTGATGAAGGAACTCTACCATGAGAACATCGAGAATCTCTGTTCTTCTCTTGATTTTCCCTCCTATAAGATTCTGATCGATGTCTTGCTGATATATCTCTTTCCCTTCTATTGTCATCTTCCTTCAACTTTCTCACTTTCGTCTTGGTTCCTTCTGTTGATCGTGCCTTGACTTTGGCTCACGACCTTCATCGATATCGTGTCTTCTCAATCTCTTTACTGTCCTCTCGCCTTTCATTCATTTTTTTTATGCCTCCTAATTTCTCTAGGATGTCTTTCTAAGTCATGCCTCTCGTACACAATACTCTATCACAAACTTTTGTATCATCGAACTTATCGTGTCCTCACCTTGAACTTGCACGGATGCCCCTACAATGTTTGAAGCTCTTTGAATGGAGACATAAAATCTTAAGACATGTAAAAATTTATAAAAAAACAATATCTATAAGATTCCTATGATTAATTCTATGAACATAGAAACATAATAATTAGATAACATTCTCCATACACGATCAAACATAATAATTTCTAACTCTCAACCATCATATTCACTAAAAAAAGGCGACCAAAACAAAAATAATTAAAAAAAATATCATCTAATTATATATATATTTTTCATAAATATATTATTATAAATAGAAGTGAAAAGAAAAAATAACAAATAACTTAAAACAAATTTAGAAGTCCGATCATAATTTTTTACCTTATTTTTCTCGCCCCCTTCTATAATTTTAATTATTATTATTGTTATTATTATGAGATTAAATAGTTGGCGACATTACTCCAACTCTTGTTTCAAACTTTAAATGCAAATTTGAACATATAAATTAATAACGAAGAATTTGTTTTTGATTTTATAGAAAATGGATAAACAAAATAGATTTATGTAGAAATACTTAAATTACAAAGTTAACCTTCGGTTCTTGAAGAAACATAAAAGGAGGAATCTTTTAAGCACGCTCGCACCGTGATTCTTTAGGCAATCGAGTTTCCAATAAAGTGAATGTGAAAAAGGGAAAGGAAAAAAAAAAAAGAAAAAGAGAGAGATAAATATAAAATAAAATATAAAAAAGGAGAATTATTGGATTACCTTCAAATTTTCAAAAGCCTACACGATATTTGTGCTAATAAGGGAAGCAAGATCGATTGTACTCACACACCTACGAACATAAATTAAACAAAGATTTATGTGATTCGAAGAGAATAAATTCTCCTACATCCACGGACTGCAACCAATCTCAATAATCAAAGTGTTTACAAAGTGTATTATCTCACACTCTCACACTATAGAGTCTTTCAACAAAAGCTCATCACAAATGTCGCTCAACAAATACAAAATGACACACAAACTTAGTTAAACTCAATAATATGCTTCATCCTAGACAACCTTTTATATAGGGATAATTTATGTATCATAAATCATAAATTAAATAATAATATTAATCAAAATTAATTCAAAATATTAATAAAAAAATCTAATTAAATAATAAGTGAAATTTATCAACTAACTAAAATTAATTAACAAACACTCTTGGAAGTTGGGCCAGGGCGTGAAAAACTTCAGTCTTGAGGGGAAGTTTGAAAGAAGATAATATCTGCTAGCGGTGGACTTGGACCATTACAAATGGTATCAAAGCCAGACATCATACCATGTGCTAGCGAGGAGGCTGTTTCTCGAAGGGGTAAACACGAGGCGATGTGCAGTAAGGACGCTGGCCCAAAGAGAGTGGATTTGGCGGAGGTCCCACATCGATTGAAGGAAGGAAAAAGTGTCAGCGAGGATGCTGGGTCCTGAAGAAGTGGATTGTGATGCCATTGTAGTCAGCGAGATCTTGCCTGTAGCCATTTACGAAACCTAAAAGTCTCCAAAACTGAGTTGTAGATGCCTTAATAAAGAATTGAGTTAATAATTAATGCAAACTTATGCCTAAATTTAGTAGGTGACACATCACCTACGACAGAACAAAAAGAGTTCCATGTTGGAGGGTAATTTTAGTTTTTTTTTTAATTTTTTATTTTTAATTTGATGAGAAAATGTCGGAGGAGTAAATATTACTCAACCAGGTTCATCTTTCAATCATGGGACCCATCTAAATGATGCATTTAATAAACTATCTTCATTATTGCCAAACAATAAAAATAAAAAAATAAAAAAATAAAAAAAATAGGACGGTGAATTATTCAACAAAAATAAATATTTATTTTATTTTATCGAGTGATAAATCATTGCTTTTGTTCATTTCTAAGATTAAAATATCAACTTTATTCTATTTTAATCAATATATTTTTAAGTACCTAAAATTATTTATTGTATTTATTAAATAATACCAATAATTTTAATGCTGAATATATTTATAAAATTTAGTGAGAAAAGCTCGCTAGAGACATAATTTAAAAATTTTAAATATAGCAATTAGAACCGACAAAAAAATAATTAAAAATAATTAAAAAACGATTTTCATTCACAATATAATTTTTAAATAAATGAATTTGAAATCTGCACGACGCCAAAAAATAATTAAAAGAAAGTCATCCAATTATATTTTGTCATAAATAAATTATTATAAATAGAGGAGAAAGAAAAATAATAAATAATTTAAAACAAATTTAAAAGTCAAATACTTATTATTATTATTATTTTTTGGAAAAAAAAAAGCATCGGAAATTTTAAATAATTTTGTCCACTCAGCAACCAGAAAGCTAAAGAGAGAGTATTTAAAAAGCGCGGGGTCAAGCTTGTCGTTCTTTCTTCCTTTTCTCTCTCAGACGAAATGGAAATCAGAAAGCTCTCTCTCTCTCGCATGGTGGATTGTGGGGTCCTCTCTGTGCGCTGAAACAGTGAAGGTATACACAGCCATTTCCCTCTTTCTCTCTCCTCTCTCTGGTAATTGATTTATTTCCTCTCTCTCTCTCTCTCTCTCTCTCTCCTCCATGCTCTGAACTTCTGTCAGTTCTTCTTTTGCCTTGCCGTAATCATTTCCGGTGATCTTCTCTAAAGCCCTGCGGAGAAGCTTGTGGGATACCTGAGCTATGAGCGATAATGTCGCTTTTCTTTAAAGACGCGGATCCAGTGTTTCAAGGCGCCGGGACCAACGCGTATCCTCTCTTCTGTTACATTTTTTAATGGTTCTCTTTTTTATTTTTCGTTTTTCTGTCTATATATTGTTCAATTTATGAGGTTTTTTCATGGATTCTATCTTAATGTTTTGGTCTATTGAATGCCGATACGTTACTTTCGATCTGGTCACGAGGAAGAAATGCGACTATTTTTGTGTGTGTGTGTGTGTTTGTTTATTTTCTCGAATGAAAGTGTGGCGTGTTGTGTTCGCATGTGCAGTATATTGATTTGTTCTTAACGTTTCTTAATTAAGTGGGCTGGAAATCTGGTGTATTGAAAGCCTCCGAGTTGTTCCTGTTCCAAAATCTTCACATGGGAAGTTTTACTCTGGAAGTGCTTACATAGTTTTGAACGTAAGCTTTTCAAGATTTGCGTTTGTTACTTTATTCATTCAGAATGTTTGAAAAGTTGTAGTACTCGGGACACCTACTTCAAGTCTTTGATTTCATTTGTGGACTCCCGAATGTTATACATACTTTTTTACTGCCCCTTTTAATGCTTTTTTTCATGGAATTTGATCGTGCTGTGTATGGGCTCGAGCAGACAACTGTGCGAAAATGTGGAATTCCCCGGCATGAAGTGCATTACTGGGTGGGAGAAAATGCAAATAAGGTGTTCAACTATTCGTTTTTCTTTCTCTTTTTTGTTATAGAAGGAAAATTTGTACAAGCTGTAGCTAACAAATACTAGTTACTATTTTTTCTTGTCAGAGAATCGAAATGCATGATACATACGTTCAGTATCTTAAAAACGACTATGAATTGATGATCGAAATATGGATATGGACCTGTTTAAATTCAGCCTGAAAGTCAATGTTTCTCCTCTACCTTATGTTTGTCCGGAGATGAGAAGATTTTGCCGTTATATCATATAGTATACCATTTTTTGTGCTTAAAATTTATGTATGCATTTTATTATGTAAAAGTTGTTGCAATATCAGGATGAGGTAGTGATTCGTGGCCATTCTGCATTGACAGGTTGATTCAGCTTTGGCATCAGACAAAGCACTGGAACTAGATGCGGCTCTAGGTTCCTGTACTGTTCAATACAGGGAAGTTGGTGGGCAAGAAACGGAGAAATTTTTATCATATTTTAAACCATGTATTATTCCTTTAGAAGGAGTGTACTGCCCACAGCCTCAGCACCTCAAAGATAAAACATACAGAATCAGACTTCTGACCTGCAAGGGAGACCGGGCTGTTCATGTTAAGGAAGTAAGCAGCAAAAAATGGCTTTTCATTTAGTTATTTTAACAATGTTGTTAACTTTTAAATTGCATCTTGACCTGTTATAGGAACCTACCCCGTTGAGGTTTTATGGATTCATTTATATGGTCATAAAGAAGTTTTTGTTTGTGTTCTTGATGATGACTGATGAGGATGCTTTTTGTCGTCATTTATTATTATTTGGTCGGGTGAGATAAGACTAATCTGTATGTATCTTCCTTAGGTTCCCTTTTCTCGGTCATCATTAAATCACAACGATGTATTCATCCTTGACACTGCATCAAAAGTTTTTCTTTTTAGTGGATGCTTTTCTACCATACAAGAAAGGGCTAAAGCGTTGGATGTTGCTCAGTATATTAAAGAGAATAATCATAGTGGAAGCTGTGACTTAGTAACTATAGGTCGGTACATTTGTTTCTTTCCCCTTTCTTTTTCCTATGACAATCAAAAAGTTCTCATCTGTTGTTGCAGATGATGGGAAATTTGTGG